TCGCTCTTGCTCAGGCTGGTCTCGAACTCCTGAGCTCAAACAATCCGCCCGCCTCAGCCTCCCAGAGTGCTGGAATTACAGGCGTGCACTGTTAATATTTAAGTTACCAGAATATAAAGAGATATAGTCAGTTACTTAGGTTTCATTATTGAAAAGTTGAAGACACATCAGTTCCAAAGTGGAAATAATATAGGGTTTATCTGGATCACTGCCTACTTTTGGTAGTCACTTTTGATGAGAACTAGCAGCATTTTTTTTCAATAGGATAAACATATATGATCCAAGCATGAAGCCTTTGGTAATTCAACCTGATTCTTAGAGTTTAGAATACATAGGAGAATGAATGGTCTACTTTTTTTTTGTTATCACTTTAACCACTTAGATTTAAAAAAAAATTTATTGAGGTATAATTGCCTTACAGTAAACTGCACATATTTAAAGTGTACACCTATCTGACCATTGCCTCGATCAAGACAATGAACATATCCACCCACCAAAAAGTTTCCTCAGTTCCCCTTGGTAACCCTGCCCTCCTGCCTTTCTCCATGTCACCCTATCCCCAGGCAGCCAGTGGTCTGCTTTCTGTCACTTGTAGATGAGTTTGCATTTTCTAATATTTTATATGAATGGGATAATACAGTATGTATTCTCTTTTGGTCTGGCTTCTTTTACACAGTGTAATTATTTTGAAATTCATTGTTATTATATTTATCAGTAGTTGATTCTGTTTTATTGCTAAATAGTATTCTGTGAATATACTACAGTTTATTCACCTATTGATGGATATTTGGTTATTCACAGTTCTTGACTATTACAAATAAAGCTACCATGAATCTTTGTATATAAGTCTTTTCATGGACATATGTTTCATTTCTCTGGGGTAAATGCCTAGGAATGCAATGGCTACGATAGGTATATTTGTTTAACTTTTTAGAAACTCCCAAACTGTTTTTCAAACTACTGTTTCACACCCACCAGCAGTGTGTGAGAGTTCCAGGTGTTCTGCATCCTTACCAATACTCGATGTGGTTAGTAGTATTAATTTTAGCCTTTTTAAAATTAAAAAGACAAACTGTGTTTTTAATTTGCATTACGAATTGAGAACTGTGGTTTTAA